TTTTGACCTTGGTTTGAGTTACCCGTGATGCTTATATGTATCATGTTGCAATGCAAGTTGGGATTTTTTTGAATTTCAAGTAGATTGATTGGATGAACTTGGTTTGTGCATTAGTGCGAAAACTGATGCCACGTTGGGGGTTCCTTCAAGGTGTTGTGCATGACTCCAAAGAGGTGTCTTTGTCTTACTCACATCATGCTCAGGATTGGGGGTGCTGAGTGTGAGGAAAGAAAATCGTCTCGGGTGGAATCAGGTTGGATGTGGGTTGAATGGCATTGGATGTGACAAGAGAGACTCGTTTCTACCTAGATTCACGCTGGGCACTAATATGTATAGCGTCAGATGTGAGTAAAGTAGAGACTCTTTGCCTAATTGGAGCCGAACGTGGGTCTTGCCACGCTAGGCGTGAGAGTGTGGGAGACAAAGTGTCCTTTGCCTCAAATGTGTTGGGCGTCCTATGAGTGGCGTTAGGCGCAAGTTGCATGATGGAAGTTGATTGTTTTAAGTGGTTTGAATAGTTGAAAGATGTGTTGTAAGTTGATGGATAATTGATGATTTGTGTTGTAATGTTGTGAGTTGTTTAAGCTGCTAAGTATTGGGAAAAACCCAAGTCCCACATCGACTAGAAATTAGGCAATTGAATAGTATATAAGTGGAAAGCAACCCTTACCTTACAAGCCGGTTTTGTAGGGTTGAGTTAGGCTTAATCCACTATTCTATCTTGGTATCAAAGCCATTTAGATCCACTTTAAAAATGGGCCACCCACCATTGATGCATGCCTCACAGGCATGAGGGAGTGTATTGGGAAAAACCCAAGTCCTGCCAATCCTAGATCATTAAAAAGGGCCACCCACCATTTATTCACGTACCAAGCTCAATAGTGCTGGACGTGAGGGGGTGTATTGGGAAAAACCCAAGTCCCACATCGACTAGAGATTAGGCAATTGAATAGTATATAAGTGGAAAGCAACCCTTACCTTACAAGCCGGTTTTGTAGGGTTGAGTTAGGCTTAATCCACTATTCTAACTCTAAGTTGTTATGTTGTTAGGCATGTCTTTGAGATACATGTCTTATTTAAGATACATAAAAACTAGAAGAGAGTAAGTGATGATTTCGAAAACTAAATATCACATTGTAAGGATGAGATGTGGTGTTCAGAGAGCTGTTGAAAACCCTTCAATATGTGAGTTGACTGTTGAATGATAAGCTGTATGTTGTTTCCTATAGGATTTATTTGGTATTCGTGTGTGGGAAAGGTCGAACACATGTATAAAGTGACTGAGTAAAGTACTGGGTCGGAGACTTAGTGTCGTATTAATGCAAGCTAATACCGTGGTAGGCTCATACTTAAACTGTTCTATCCTGATAGTAGTGCTAGAACTCTTAGTTTAAGTGGTAATGTTGAGAAACCAAATTTTGTTAGTTGACTGGGTCTAGCCATTTAAACTGCTCACCTTGTGTTGTTAGAGATCTCCATAGTTGATATGCATTACGACACATTAGATTTGATGTTGTGTTGTGTTAAATGTGTTGAGTTTGATTAAACTCTTGTGCTGAGATTGATGTGGTGTTGTAAGTTGTTGTATTTTGATGTGATGGTGTTATTTATGAGTTGGTTATGTTGTATCGTTGAAAGGTGCTTAGTTCTAACTATATGTTAAATTCTTTTCACAAGCTTATCCTATGTTTTCTTGTGGTTAGAACTGCAATGATCATACTCAATATGGGAGAGGTTAGCTAGTCGTTGTGGAGGGTCATGTTGGGGATGACTAGTTTTCTTTTGTTATCGTTGCTTTGGTGTAGTTTGAATTTGTATAGACGCCAATGGTTGCTTAGATTTATCTTGCTCATAGTCGTATATTTTGTATATATAGTATGTATGTACAAGAACTATTATGGTTTTTTTATTCCTTACACATAACTGTGTACATGGTATTAATTACTAGTTGCATGATATTAGTTTCTAACTTGCTAGGTCATTACATAACGTTAATATGCATTTGCTTGTAATCTTAGTTGCACATCACTCACACCTCACATGGCTCACAGTCACACTCATTCTCATTCGCCCCAACCACTTGCACCTCATGCTGATAGTCACACTCATTCTCAATCGCCCCAAATGGCCAAAGGAAATTAAAAAATCCTAATCTTCAATGAGACTTTAATTTTGAATTGATTCATTTGTCTTGCTTCTTTCCCAAATCAATTCATTTTGCATGAAACCTAATCACAAATTCTCTTCCTTGATTCCCTTCATGTATCCAAGTACAAGCTATTGATGTTCATTTTGGATGATTCAAAACATGGGTGTGCCTTTCTTGTTTAATGGGTATTTTTAAATAGCAACGTGACTATCCTAGCTTTTTGATTTTTATTAAGGTGTGTTATTTGACTTATGGAATTTTACATGTGTTTTCCAATGTTAAATGTCATAATCTGCAATTTTATTGACAATGAACATGGTTGGAAGTGGGAACTAATAAAAAAAAATGTTGATTACCAATTTTTTGTTTTCTTATGAATGATGGTGTGTTGCAGGCACTCTTTTTGTGTTTGCTTTCATACAGAAAAAGCTTCTAAGTTTTGATATTTGTGCAAGGTATTGGGATAAATACAATGCTCGTTCAATGCTCATACAAAAGGTAAACAGTAGAGTTTGACAACCATTCAATATTGAGCTATAAAGTCACTTTATTTTGTATTAGGTGCTAGGTGTGGCAATGTCAATCTAACCATGATTCTGGATGAAACCTATTTCTGCCTATTGATTAGTCTACTTTGCATATTGGTTTGATTTTTAAAAGCTTATGTTTGTGGGCATTTATGCCTAAATGCTTAGAATTCTATTTACTTTCACCACATAGCTAATTCTATAACTTTGTTAAAATATAAGTCATAATGGACCTTGGGCTAAATAATAAATTGAAGTGTTTTCATGACCTTTCTTTATCATGGATTAAAGTGGATATTGTGTCTCACATGGACATATCAATTAGTGTTTCACATCAGTATATAAATATTCATTGAATTCTTTTTGGAATAGTTTTACGATTCAACTTTCCTGTCTCCTACACACTATGATCAGAAATAGTTTGGGCCATTATTTTCTTCACTTATGAATAACTCTCTGGCAATGCTTGAAATTTACTATATAATCTGCTTATTTGAAATTTGTCAATAAAAGAAATCTGGCTGAATTAATCTATATTTTGGAATTTTGTAACTTTAGTAGTCGGGAGACTGAATTCTCCAACTTTCATTCTCCCCATCCATTGTATCTAGTTTTATTCTCTCTCTCCATCTCTTTCTTTCTCCAATACAGAGAGTACCTACAAGTGAATTACATTCGATTAACAAATCTTGGCCTTTCCAAGATTGGACAATTGATTTAATTGGTCAAATTTATCCCCTATCAACAAAAAATCACAAATACATAATTGTTGCCATAGATTATTTTACCAAATGGGTCAAAGTTGTTTCTTTAAAGGATGTGGATCAAAAAGACGTGATAGATTTTATTGAAGATCATATCATTTTTAGATTTTGAATTCCCCAAACAATAACTACAGATCAAGGAATCATATTTACAAGTCGAAAAGTTGCACTATATGCTGAATCGAGAGGTACCAAATTAGTTACTTCAACACCTTATTATGCACAAGCAAATGGTCAGGTTGAAGTTGTTAATAAATTTTTTGGTAAATTTAATTAAAAAACATATTTTTGTTAGGCCTTGAGGCTAGCATGAAACATTATTGTAGGTCTTATGGGCTTACAAGAATTCACCAAGGAGTGCAACTAAAATTACATCATATAAGTTAGTTTATGGACATGAAACAATTTTGCCTATAGATATTAATTTGTAGTCCATTCACATACAAAGACAAAATGACCTATCAGTCAAAGATTATTGGAATCTAATGTATGATGAGCTGATTCAATTAGATGAAGAAAGAATAATTGTTATATAAAATGTTATACATCAATGTTGTCAAAAAACTGTTATAACGTCGTTATAACGAAATGGCAGGGCGGTTTTGGGGCTCTTCGCGATTCGCCATCCGCCATATGGCATTTTGTGGCGTTGTCCGCCATTTTCGTCGTGGTGGGCGCCATGGCCGTTTTGACCCGTTACACTATGAAGGGTATGGTGGACTTAACGGGTCTAGGGTTTCTGGTGCTAGTTTTGGGCTGCGACCCAGGCCTAATTTGAGTGCCTTAATGGCTTTGGGGTTAGAGAGTGTGAATAGAGCCGTCGCGACAGCCACCCACCCAAATGGACTCCTGTGACCTTCAATTTGCCTCTGGTGACATTCCTTTGCTGTCGCCCACCACTCGACAGTCACCTTTCCGGTCGGAGACCTGAACTGCAATGGTCCAACACCTTGGCGAGCAACCACAACACGTGAACAATACTTATGGAAGTCAAAATCGCCCTTAATCACCTTCGTTCACTGTCCCTTGGTCCCTTTTCTGGTTGACGACCTGAATCGTGGTGGCCCAGCACTCCGGCGAGCTATTCCAGTGACATAGCCAAACTTCAAACTAGATAGGTTTTTTTTTCTTTCAGTTTTAATCCTCTTTTTTTTCCAGTTTTAATCTTCCTCCTTTTATTTTTTCAATTTTAATTCTCCTTTTTTTCTTTCTTTTTTTTTTTCCCAGTTTTAATCCTCCTTTTAGTTTTTCCTATTCTTTTGAGTTCTTTCTTAACGAATTCATTGTTGCATCTGCAGCAACAAATTTTTTAATCCCAATTCTTCTACCAATTGGATCAATTTAAATTCCTATTTTCTTCTAAATTCTAAACTAACATTGAGTGTCTATTTTATTATTATTCTTTTTCTTCTTTTTAGGATAATGTCTAGCAATTCAATTCCAAACCAAAGTCAAACATCCTTAAACTCTGTTAAGAGAACAAACATAGGATGGAAACATTGTCATCCTACCAAAGAGAATGATACCAATGAAATTGTCTGTAATTATTGTAAAAATATCATGAAAGGAGGAATTACAAGAGCAAAGCAACATTTAACGGGAAAGAAGGGAAGTGTTGCACCTTGTCAAAGTGTTCCACAAGAGGTTAAAGATGAGTTGTGGGCAATTGAGAAAAATAAGAAGATGAAAGAAAGTGAGTCATGCCAAAGAGTAATGGAAGATGTGACTCTTGGTAGTGAAGATTATACATTGGAGGGAGATTTAAGAGAATTAGAAGTTGAGACACTTGGGGCCAATGAAAGGAAGAAAGTTGCTATGAAAAAGGGGCTTATTGACCTTTTTTGCAAACATCCAGAAACAACAATTGCAAAAAATAAGGAGAAATTGAAGCAAATAGGTATAAGGGAGAGTTGTGACAAGGAAGCTACAACATGGGTCCACCAATATATAGCCCGATTTTGGTACCAAGTTGGACTATCTTTTAACATGATCAAATTGGGGAGCTTTCATGACATGGTCTCAGGTATTGGGTCTTTTGGACCGCATTTGCGACCTCCATCTTATCATGAGATAAAAGTTCCACTTCTCCAAAACCAGATGGAGTATACTGAAAAATTGATGAAGAGTAAAAAGGAATATTGGGCTAGTTTTGGATGTTTCATCATGTCAGATGCTTGGACGGACAAGAAGCAAAGATGCATTATTAATTTTTTTGTGAACTCTTTTGTAGGAATAATGTTCAAAAATCTGTTGATGGGTCTAATTTTGTGAAGACTGGAGAGAAGCTATTTGAATTATTAGACTCTATTGTAGAGGATATTGGGGAGGAAAAAGTTGTCCAAGTCATCACGAACAATGGCAGTAATTATGTTCTTGCTGGCAAGATGTTGGAGGCAAAAAGGAAGAAAATCTTTTGGACTCCATATGCAGCCCATTGCATAGATTTAATGTTGGAGGACATTGGGAAGCTTCCCAATATCAAAAAAACAATTCAGCGGACAATTTCTCTTATTGGCTTCATTTATAGCCATTCAAGCACTTTAAGTTTGTTAAGGTTTTATACAAACAAAAAGGAGCTAGTGAGGCATGCGATGACTTGATTTGCAACATCTTTTCTTTCTTTGGAAAGTATCTACCAAGAAAAATCAAATTTAAGAAAGATGTTTGTTTCGGATTAATGGAATTCAAACAAGTTATCAAAGGAAGCAAAAGGAAGAGAAGCATGTAAAACTATTTTAATGCCTTCTTTTTGGAGGAATGTAGTGTAAATACTTAAAGTCATGGCGCCTCTTGTAAAAGTACTTAGGCTTGTTGATGGTGAGAAAAAACGAGCTATGGGCTATATGTATGAAGCTATGGATAAGGCAAAGGAGGTTATTATGAAGTCTTTCAATAACAATGAGACCAAATATAAAGCTGTGTTTGATATTGTTGATAGAAGATGGGATGTTCAGCTTCATCACCCTTTACATGTTGCTGGTCATTTTTTGAATCTGGAGATGTTTTATGACAACCCTCAAATGGAATTTGATAGTGAGATTATAAGAGGGTTTTATGCAAGCATGAATTAGTTGGTAGGAGATTTGCAAGTGGAGCAAAAAATCATGATGAAGCTACACACTTATAAAATTGCAGGAGAACTGTTTGGGATTGAGCTTGCTATAACAATGAGGAAAAAGGTTTCACTGGGTTAAAAACTAAACCTTTAAGAGCTTTAAACTTCTATTCTACTAATTGTTCCATGTTTAATAACTTTTCTTTTGACTTTATAGCTCAATGGTGGAGACTTTATGGTTCATCAACTCCCAATTTGCAACAACTAGCCATAAAGATATCGAGCTTGACTTGTAGTTCATCCGGTTGTGCACGTAATTGGAACGTCTTTGAGCAAGTAATTAATTTGCTTTTGAAGAGTCTTATTAGTTCCAAATATTTTAAAATGTTTGATTAATTATTTAACTTAATGTTGAACATTCATAATAAGAGGAGGAATAGGCTTGAGAATAAAAAATTACATGACCTGGTCTATGTTAAGTATATTCAAGCACTCATGCGAAGATACAACCTTAAGGATGAAATTGATCCCATTAGCCTTAATGATATTGATGAATGTAATGAATGACTTGTTGGAGAGATGGATGGGGATGATGATGATAAAGTTGAAGCTCTAGATGAGAGTTTTTGGTGGAAATGATTCACTTACTTGGAATCAAGTTTATGATGTTTCAGGGGTTGGAGAGCCTCTAATGTATACTAGGCATAACAAAAGGAAGCAACCTCCAAGTGGGGAAGGAGCATCATCTCAAAAAGTTTCTAAAAAAGGCAAAGGAGTGTCTTCTTCAACTAGGAAAGGAAAAGGAAAAGTGGCTAAAGTTGTTGAAGGAGATTCAGAAGATATTAGTGAGGAATTAGAGGAAGAATTGCCAAATATTAACTTCGACAATTCTGAAGGTGAAGAAGTTGAAGGCTATGCCCCTTTGGCATTCAATGAAAAGAATGATTACATTGAGGAAGAGGAGGAGAATGATGATGAGGAGGAGGATGATTAGATTAGCAAAATGCTTCTTGTACTCTTGTTTTTCTATGTTTTTTTTGTTGTGTTTTAATCAATTATGTTATGAGACTTAATGAATTATGGTATTGTTGTTATGATATTTAAGTATTTTAAGTTGATATTATGTTGCTTTTAATTTAGTTTTGTTGTTTTTTTTGTATATAAATATATATATATATATATATATATATATATATATATTGTCTGCCATAGGCCGCTATGGCATCCGCCATAGAGTTATAAAGGATTTTCGGCCTCATCGCCATAGACCGTTATCTGCTATTGATAACCTTGTTATACATCAAAAAGAGAAGATAGCATAAACATACAACAAGAAAGTAAAGAATAGGAAATTTTTGATTGGCGATCTAGTACTAAAAGTTATCCTTCTTATGGATCAAAAATCTCAGTCTTGAGAAGTGGTTATACAATTGGGAAGGCCCATTTGTGATCGAACAAATCTTTTCGAACAATGCATTTCTAATTAAAGAGGTACATTCAAATGACAAAAAAAGTGAAAAATGGTAAATACTTAAAGGAATTCCATGAAAGCAAATTATATTGACTAGAATATCATTACTTAAATAAGAGATTGCACAGGAAACAAAGAATATCATTCATTTACAATATTTTGTTCTGAAAGCATTATTGGCATGATAAGCCTGATTTTAACTTTGGTTCCTTAAAGCACATTGAACCTCCAATCTCTTCTTGTGCTCTAAAGTCTTTAAGATCTTGGATGAGATCTCCTTTTCTTAATCACTTAGCTTCTGTTTTTGTACGACCTCCTGGCTTTGAGCTTTTAAGGCCGCATGCTTCGATCGTATTGCATCAAACTTTCTTTGCATAGCCTCAATCGTCTTCTCAACATCAGCTTCATCCTTCTTAAGCTGCATCAAGATTGAAATGATGTGTTCGATGGATTCCCATATCGAGAGTAGCTCTGATTTGAGTTGTTCAAGCTTAGCATGATCCCCCTCAGTATCTAGCTCGATCTGAGCTACTTCTTGGTAAAAACTCACCCATTTTGTATGTAGCTCAAATGCTAAAGTGAAAGTTTGTACATATTCATGTGATTCATCAGTCACTTCGAGGGGGAGATCAGGGAAGGTTGTTAGATCATCAATCATCTGCTTGATTTCGACTTTAAAGTTAGCATCGAGAAGTGCTTGATCGATATCATCCACATAAGCTTTGGAACGGAAGGAAGTTAAGAGAGGTTGGAAGTGTATCATAGGATTTGGAGTCTTCTCAGATACTGATGCTCTCGCTAGTCCAATTATCCCAGCACTTCGAAAATATAATCTTGATCAACATCATCATTGAAGAAACTTATGAGATCTAGATCTTCAGAAGGAATTGAAATTGGTGGGGGCATAGAAGACCCAACATCATCTTTGCATGGTTGAGAAAAAGGAGAATTGGTCGGTCTTTGTAGAAAGTGTTCGAATGTGAATACCTTATCAGTATAATATTCACACTACCATCAAAGAAAACATATAGATACAAGAAAAGAAGGAGAAAAGGAATGGATTAAGAGAGAGTTGCTTGTTAGGACATAAAATTAGCTCTAAGACAACCTCATCCATAATCACCCTCAACACATCGGAATCAATCTTATCTTTTCGATGAAGAGGGAGGGGTTTCATCTGACACAACCTGAATTGTATGGCAAAGAGCTACGGCTGATAATGATAAATTCTTACATCTTTTTGCTTTATGCTAGAGAAAATGACATCTCAAGACAAGAATCCAAACCATATTTCAATCATATCTTGAGAAATACATCCAACTTGATTATTATTTTTCATCCAAGGACGACCCACCAAATCAAGGCGAATAAAAGGGGGCCAAGTCACCAGAAAACTCTCCAAAGCTAGGAATAGTTTGTACGTATCAAGCAAAATTTTCAATAGACCTCTTCTTAGGGGTTAATACAGCCAATCTTACCTCCTTGAGTGAGTATGTGATGGAGGATTGAAGAGGAACAAGCTTAAGTCTCCTCTCAAAAATAGCATTAAGCCATAATTGCAGCAACCAAAGGGGTCTAGAAAGGTTCTGAGCATCATTCTCTCAAAATAAACTCTCCGAAGCTTAATCAAGACAGGTGTACAAGGAGGCCAATAACAATTTATTCAAACAAACCTTCTAGAGATGCAAAGACTGAGCAAGAACATAGTAATACTTTGGAACTTGAAGAGAAGGGATGCAAAAAATACAAGTAGATAACCAATATAAAAGAAAGGTCATATGTTTGAACCCAGTAACAAGATCACCCTCCTTGCCACGATGAGGATTGATAAAAGCTAAATATGTATTTCTGTCTTATAGGGAATAAATATCATCCTGAAGCATTTGAGGAGGAGATCTTGCTTAAGGATACTTCGATCATATGGGACAGAAAGACATATTTGGCTTTTATCAATACTCATCGTGGTAAGGAGGGTGACCTCATTACTGAGTCCAAACATATAGCCTTTCTTTTATATTGGTTATCTGTTTGTGTTTTTTGCGCCCCTTCTCTTCAAATACCAAAGTATTACTATGTTCTTGCTTAGTCTTTGCATCTCTGGATGCTTTGTTTGAGTAAGTTGTTACTAACCTCTTTATACACCTGTCTTGATGAAGTTTTGGAGAGTTTGTTTCGAGAGAATGACCCTTAGAACTTTTATGGATCCCTTTAGTTGTTGCAATTATTGCTTAATGCTATTGAGAAGAGACTTAAGTTTTTTCCTCTTCAATCTTCCATCACATACTCATCCAAGGGGGCAAGATTGGTTGCATTAACTCTTAATAAGAGGTTTGTTGAAAATTTTGCTCGATATGTTCAAACTATTCTCAGCTTTGGAGAGTTTTCTAGTGACCTGGCCCCTTTTATTCGCCTTGATTTGGTGGGTCGTCCCTGGTTGAAGAATAATAATCAAGTTGGATGTTTTTTTCGAGATATGATCGAATATGATTTAGATTCTTGTCTTGAGATGTCATTTTCTCTGGCATGAAGCAAAAAGTTGTAAGAGTTTATCCTTATCAAGGTTATTAATAGCGGATAACGGTCCATGGCGGTGAGGCCGAAAATCCTTTATAACTCTATGGCGGATGCCATGGCGGACAATATATATATATATATAAAGAAAACAACAAAATAAATAACAAGCAACACAATATCAACTTATATATCATAACAACAATACCATAATTCATTAAGTCTCATAACATAATTGATTAAAACACAACAAAAAACATAGAAAAACGAGTACAAGAAGCATTTTGCTAATCTAATCATCTTCCTCCTCATCATCATTCTCCTCCTCTTCCTCAATGTAATCATTCTCTTCATTGAATGCCAAAGGAGCATAGCCTCAACTTCACCTTCTGAATTGTCAAAGTTAATATTTGGCAATTCTTCTTCTGATTCCTCACTAATATCTTCTGAATCTTCTTCAACAACTTTAGCCACTTTTCCTTTTCCTTTCCTAGTTGAAGAAGACACCCCTTTGCCTTTTTTAGAAGCTTTTTGAGATGATGCTTCTTCCCCACTTGGAGGTTGCTTCCTTTTGTTACGCCTAGTATACATTAGAGGCTCTCCAACCCCTAAAACATCATAAACTTGATTGCAAGTAAGTGGATCATTTCCGCCAAAAACTCTCATCTAGATCTTCAACATCATCATCATCATCCCCATCCATCTCTCCAACCAGCCATTCATTACATTCATCAATATCATTAAGAATAATGGGATCAACTTCATCCTTAAGGTTGTATCTTCACATGAGTGCTTGATTATACTTAACATAGACCAAGTCATGTAATTTTTTAAGATCAAGCCTATTCCTCCGCTTAGTATGAATCTACAACATTAAGTTAAATAATTAAGCAAACATTTTAAAATATTTGGAACTAATAAGACTCTTCAAAAGCAAATTGATTACTTGTTGAAAGATGCTCCAATTACGTTCACAATCGGATGAACTACAAGTCAAGCTCAATATCTTTATGGCTAGTTGTTGCAAATTGGGGTTGATGAACCATAAAGTCTCCACCATTGAGCTATAAAGTCAAAAGAAAGTGTGTGTAACACGAAACAATTAGTAGAATAGAAGTTTAAAACTCTTAAAGGTTTAGTTTCTAACCCGATGAAACCTTTTTCCTCATTGCTAAAGCAAGCTCAGTCCCAAATAGTTTTCCTGCAACTTTGTAAGTGTGTAGCTCCATCATGATTTTTTGCTCCACTTGCAAATCTCCTACCAACTTATTCATGCTTGCATAAAACCCTCTTATAATCTCACTATCAAATTCCATTTCAAGGTTGTCATAAAACATCTCTGGATTCAAAAAATATTAAACTGCATGTAATGGACGATGAAGCTGAACATCCCTTCTTCTATAAATAATATCAAACCCGGCTTTATATTTGGTCTCATTGTTATTGAAAGACTTCATAATAGCTTCCTTTGCCTTATCCATAGCTTCATATATATCTAGCCCATAGCTAGCTTTTTCTCACCATCAACAAGCCTAAGTACTTTTACAAGAGGCGCCATGACTTTAAGTATTCTACATTCCTCCAGAAAGAAGGCATTAAAACAGTTTTACATGCTTCTCTTCCTTTTGCTTCCTCTGATAACTTGTTTGAATTCCATTAATCGGAAACAAACATCTTTCTTAAATTTGATTTTTCTTGGTGGATCCTTTCCAAAGAAGGAAAAGATGTTGCAAATCGAGTCACCGCATGCCTCACTAGCTCCCTTTTGTTTGTATAAAACCTTAACAAACTTAGGTGCTTGAATGACTATAAATGAAGCCAACAAGAGAAATTGTCCGCTGAATTGTTTTTTTGATATTGGGAAGCTTCCCAATGTCCTCCAACATTAAATCTATGCAATGGGAAAATTTTCTTCTTTTTGCCTCCAACATCTTGCTAGCAAGGACATAATTACTTCCATTGTCCGTGATGGCTTGGGCAACTTTTTCCTCCCCAATATCCTCTAAAATATA